GAACAATTATTAAGTTAATAAGCAATGTTAATAAATTATCTATTAAGCACTTAATATCTATTAAATTGCATTTTAAAAAAATTGTAATTACTCCATTAATATAAAAATGGTTTTAAAAAATATTTAAAGAAATTGTTTTAATTTTAAAAATTATATCTTTTTCTCTTTTTTGTTTTGCTAATTTGTTTCTTATCCAAACTAATAATCAAAAATTTTATTTGCAAGTAAAATACTTTTTCTTCTCTATCATCTTATTAAATATAAGTTGAAGAGAAAATAATAAAGAACAGACATTGGACTCAGCTTATAAAGCATATCAATATGCTAAATCAATATAATTACTGTACAATTTAGCAACAATATTCTGACATATATATAAATAAGGAACTCTTATTTGCTTAGTTAAACAGACTTACAGTTAAAGGATTTCAAAAGCTGTGTTGGATTGCCTATATAATTTGTAGTATCTTAACTGTATATATTAATTTGAAAATTAATTAAGCTTTTCTTCAATCCAATTATTATTAAATTATTTATAATCGAATTAAAAAAAATAAGAAAGAAAAAAAGAGACGATAATGAGGTAAGAGAATGAGATAATAAATTCCAAAAAATAGTTTTATATATAGGAAGACAATAAAGAATTATATATTCTTGATGTAAATAAAAAAAAGTTATGTTGTCCCACTAATAAAAATGTCATGTCCTTTATTTTGAAATTATTTTTTGATTAAATTAAAGAACAATATATTACATTGACATGGAAACAAATATAAAAAAAAAATATAAAAGTTAGAAAAAGAGCTGTTATTATTTCTCCATTTAGTAGGCTAGACATATACATGCTGTAATGTAAAACTAATTGGAAGAAAAGTTCTTCTCACATATTATATTGAGTTGTATAATAAAAGCGACAAAATAAATGTGCCGTTGTTCGTGTTTCTGCTAGTAGGAGAAAAAGAGGTACCAAAAAAATGCATTCCGCGTATTGCGAAGCGCATGGAGTTATATCTCGTTGTAAAAACAACATTACCGATGTTACCTTCCGATATCGCAGAAGCGACGTGAAGATCGTACAGCCGTGAGGGAAAAAAATATGTCTCTTTTGGTCTCTCTTTCACAACCGGATTATGTTTCGAATTACTAAATTCGCTTTAGATAGTAAATAAATAAAGCCCATCACGAGAGTATTTAGTGCAGATGGCGTAAACTCTTACCACGGTTTTATTGAAAAGCTAGAGGGTTAATTGTATTGACTTTCTGTATTCGTACCGCAAATCATTGATAAAACTTTATGGCCCGTATTCAGAACGCACTTTTATCGATAATTAGATCAAAAGCGGATTATATAATGTTTTTTCAAACATATTTAAAATATATTCAAAAATTATTTGTATTACAAAAGAGAAAGGATTATATATATATATATTTAATCTTTTTTAAACATCTAAAATATATTTTTAAAAATCATTTTATATAGTTCAAAATATGCACAGAAAACAATCTTTACTTTTTAACAAAATTATAATTTTAATTATTTCCTCCCTTTTATAAAAATAATAAGTATCCCTAATATATTGACCAATAGGAATATTTTTTGTCCCGCAGCCAATCTGGTCATAGAAGATAGGACAGACGCTGCCTGCCACCATGTAAAGCCGGCTTTACATTTTCTTGAAAAGGGAAACAGCCATCTTGCGATCTTACGTCTCTTTTACAGAAGACAGCTTGTGGAGGACAATATGAGGTTCGTTCACTGCAAATTTAATATGTTATTTAAACAAGTATAAGCCGTTAAATACACATAAAGTTGTCATGTGAATCTCTAAAATCCGATCGCACATACAAATACGATTTTGCGACGGAAATTGAAAGTATTTCCATCACGTACCACTTTCCGTTCGCGGTCTGCAAAGCACATGGGCTTTTTAACAAAACATTCTTATAAATGACGTATCTCTCGTTATGTCGACGATAAATTCTATCGTTGCGAATAGAATTTTGGAAAATCAGTGCTTCTCGTTACGAATGTTTTGCCTACAAGTGTTTCATGATTAATTCAATTTAAAATGAGTATAACCTCATCTTTATTATTACAGTTCTTTGAAACTGCAGAAGAGGCTAGCAGCCTCTGTTATGCGATGTGGCAAGAAGAAGGTCTGGTTGGATCCGAACGAAATTAATGAAATTGCGAATACGAATTCTAGTAAGTTGTGCTTTACATTGCAATTTGATTATTTTTTTTTACAAAATTTATAAGCAGTATATTAACAAGATAATTGTTGCATCATTTTCTTTATATATATATTAATACTTATATATTTATTTTTTAGGACAAAATATTAGAAAACTGATCAAGGATGGTCTTATTATTAAGAAGCCTGTGGCTGTACATTCGAGAGCTCGCGTTCGTAAGAATACCGAAGCTAGACGCAAGGGTCGTCATTGTGGTTTCGGTAAAAGAAAGGGTACAGCAAACGCCCGTACGCCTCAAAAAGTATGTACATTTCAGTGTAGTTAAATTTAACATACAATTGAAAAGCGTAGTTAGAGAAAAAAAATAATACATTTTAATTAGAAACCAGGGTTGGTAAAAAAGAACATGTGAATGAGTGAATTTTATGTTTTAAATTATTTAAAATATATTTAATCAACGTTTTTAACATATTTCAAACAATTTTTACAGTACAATTTAGGTCCGGTTGTATCGATGTTACTTTGATTATAAGTGAGACAAAATTATTTCTGTCTTGTTTTAAAGCTGAAAGAAACAAAACAAAGAGGGAGAGAGACTAGAATTGAATGAATTTTAAACCTCATTTAAAGTCAAAGTGACGTTGGTACAATCAGGCCTTATAGCATTAAAAATTAAAACATGTTTAGAAATATAATGTTTTAGCCTTAAAAAAACATTAATCTTTGCCAACTCTCTCAAAAACTATGTATTCTAGTATATATATGATTTCTGACAGGTAAAATTTTTGTTCTGCTATTGCTATTGTCTATACTTTTTAATGATGCATTAAACCTTATAATTGTTACGCTACATTAAGTAGGTTTCACTTGATGTTTGTGGCATTCGTCAACATTATTTTATCCATGTTTATCAAATTTCAAGGATGAAATGATGCTCATGAGTATTGTAAATGTCAAATTAAACACCCATTGTTTTTTATCTCTATTGTATTAATCTCAAAATCGTAAACATTTGTATGTAATCAGTAAAGAATATGTATAATCATTTACATGTATCGTGCAGGATCTCTGGATTCAAAGAATGCGAGTCCTTCGTCGTCTTTTAAAGAAATATCGTGAAACGAAGAAGATTGATAGACATCTGTATCACTCGTTATACATGAAAGCTAAAGGTAATGTTTTCAAAAATAAGCGAGTGCTGATGGAGTTTATTCACAAGAAGAAGGCAGAGAAGGCCCGTGCTGAGATGTTATCTGATCAGGCTGAAGCCCGGCGCACAAAGGTCAGGGAAGCTCGTAAACGTCGTGCGGAACGTATTGCATCAAAAAAGCAAGAACTATTGCAATCGTATCAACGTGAGGACGATGCCGCGAAGAAATAAATTGTGCGATGTATCTTAAGTAAAAATTGTATAAATAAAATGAAAAAAAAAAATCATCTAAGCGAATCAATTTTCTCTAGAGTTTTGTTCAAAAGAATCAACACTTACAGAAATAATTATGCGAATAATAATTTGGAAAGAGATACGAAAAATTAAATATAAAGTGTGTTACAAAATTAGATTAACTCCAATTAGCTAATAATCCTAGAAAATCTAACGGTCTTTTTAATTATAAAATGATATTGGTTTCAACACACAAAATTAATAATATAAAAAGAAAAAATTATAAGTATAAATTTTAGTAAAATAAAAGTTTTATTTGTTAATTATTATTAACTGTCAACTGAAGAGTATACAATTATGATTACATTTACACGACTCGGTTTATACCGAAGTTACATATCGATGTTATGAAATTGGTTAATCAAGATCACTCCATTCTTTAAAGGAATAGCTTTAACTGGCCAATTTCTAATACCTTTATATGTGCAGAATAATTATAAAAATAATGGAGGCGATCTTCACATTTTTTTGACGTCTTTAGACGAAAAACAATATACATCTCTCTCGAAAGTCCTCTATTTTTGTAAAATATATTTTTCTAAAATTAAAAATAAACATGGTTTTAAGGACATATTAAAATAATCCTGTATACATCGTTTTATTTTTCTTTTGTTTTCATCACGCATGCGTGAAAATTCAACCCGATTCACATATGGGTCCGGCTCCTTTCTTCTTTACTACTAGTTGCTGCTAGTCTACATAAATATTATGTCTATGTTTGTGAACATGTGTTTTGCGTATCTTCGGCGTATGTCGAAATTGCTCGAAATTACTCAGAATCCACACGAGAGCTTTAACCATTCAAGTATTTAATACGAAAAGATTCAATCAGGTTTGAGTTTGGGTTCGATCAGGTTTAGTGAAGCATAATTTAAATAAGAGAAGATTAAATAGTTTTCTCTTGTGTGTATTATAATTTATTAAATTATATAGTAAAATATAATTTTGGATAATTATATAAAAATTATAGAATACACAATACACTCACCATCTCCGCTTTTGATAAAATTAGACTCATTAGTCGCGTTTTCACTCAAAACGAAAGAATCTGGAAGAAAAACACGACGGTCTGCCCCACGAATTGAGATATTAATCGTTTCGCTGTTTATAGTTTCGAGCAAAAGTTAATGTTGCCAAAACGAATCACTGTGTTTCATCTGGTCTGATGCAACAGCACATCACACAATCAAGATTGGAATTTACATGCAGAGCATGTGTTTGTTTACTGAAGTCGATGGATAGTGTTTTAAGTTTCTGATAGATGTTAAGAAATATTCAATAACGGAAAGAACAATATCTCGGAAAAAGGAAGAATTTAGAGATATACAATCGTTAATTTTAACAACAAAGACGCACAAACATGTCTCTACCAAAATCGAACGAGAAGCCGAATCTCTCGCAAAAAACCAGAGAGGAAATCAAAGCAGAACGCGAAGCAAAAAAGACTGCTAAAGCTGCTGCTAAAGCAGCAAAGATTAATAATGATAAAATAGATGATGTCAAAAATGTAGGACCAGCCAATTGTAAGATCCCAGCGAAAGATGTAAGAGAAGATGTAACAGCAGAAAAAGATAATAAGGTAGTAGAAAATACTAAAATTAAATGTAAATCTGCAGTAGCTGATTGTAAAATCTTGAAAAAAGATACACAAGCAAATGTAGCAGTAGATACAACAATATCGTCACTTACAAACGCCTTAAAGGAAAATGCAATTCAATCCTTGAATGTCCAAAACAGTGTATCCGAAAGTAAAAATGAAGGAGGTAAAAGCAAAGCTCAGCTTCGTGCAGAACGAAGAGTTAAGCAAGAGGCCCAGAGAGCTGTCAAACAGCAACAGTTAGCAAAGGATAACATAAAAAGTGAAGAATCTCTCAAACCACATATAGAAACTGTATCTGAATGTCCAGTGAAAAAAAGTGTTGTGAACAATGCAGTGAGAGAGAATGCACATACTGTCAATTTATTTAAACACTTGTATCAAGAAAGGGAGCGCTCTTTATTTAATATTGCTACAGTAAACTCAAATATACATCCAGCGATAGTTAGATTAGGTGTTCAGTATGCTAACAAGGTCATTGTTGGTAGTAATGCGAGATGCGTTGCGCTTTTAGCTGCTGTCAAACAGATGATCCAGGATTTTGAGAAGCCGATACACGAAGATTTCATACGTGGTCTCGAGGCAAACTTAAAAGAATCATTAAAGTATCTGTGTCATTGCAGACCATTGGGTGTCTCAATGCATAATGCTATGCGTCACCTCACGTGGCAGATGACACAGTTTTCATCTACATTATCGGATGAAAAAGTAAATGATTTTGTATTTTATTCTTGCCATATAATTATACCTTTAATTTAATTATTCTCTTATTTCGTACAAATCTGTCTGACTCGTATAAATCAAAGACTATTAGATATATGTAGATAATAAAAAAGAATGTAAGAAACAGGGAAATTTGAGACAATTTGTAAATTTTCATGTTCATTGGATTTAAATCTTATGTAGTTTAATGGCTTAATACTTAATAGTTTATTGAATATAATGTATTACAGGCAAAAAGTAAGTTACAAGGAATGATTGATACCTATATCTCGGAACAAATTCAATTGGCTGATAAAGCGATATCATTAACAATACAAAGTAAAATATCCAATGGAAATGTTATTTTAACATATGGCTAGTGAGTATATTTTATAACTTATTTATGGAAATATAATTCTACAAATAAATCTTCCTCTTTTAAAGATTTATTATATCTTATTTATTATTTTTGTTACTTTTTGAAGATTTATTTTATTTCTAAAATACATAATAATATATTTATTCCTATATATATATTTCTATGAATTTTTATAAGAAAAAACATAGAATATATATTATTTCTGAAAATAAAATACATTTCAGTTCATCTTTAATTCACAAGATATTAGTAGAGGCGCATTCTGCAGGCAAACAGTTTCGTGTAGTTGTGGTTGATGGTAGACCATGGCTAGAAGGAAAGGAACAACTGAGACGTTTGGCAAAACATGGGATTGAGTGTTCGTATATACTAATCAATGCTCTCAGCTTCATTATGCCAGAAGTAAGTAATTATGCTCACAGTGATCTAAAGAACTTATTTTAAAAAATTTGTTTAATTCATAAATGTCTCAAAAATAGATTTTATACATTAAGATTAATTATTTAATATTTAAAAAATTCTATTTTACATATATTATTGCACAACTTTTCTTTTTGTTTTAAATATAGATTTAGGAATAAAAATGTGGAAATATATCAATTTTCTTTAAATATATATCTACTTCTAATTTCTCTTTATACTGCTAATTTATTATTTCACTTATCTAGGTCAGTAAAGTCTTTCTTGGTGCCCATGCAATATTAGCTAACGGAGCAGTGATGTCAAGAGTAGGAACGGCGCAGGTTGCTTTAATGGCGAAAGCCTTTAACGTTCCTGTTTTAGTAGCATGTGAAACACACAAATCGTCTGAACGAGTGCAGACGGACTCTATCGTTCATAATGAATTAGGTAAACAAAGAGGAAAAATAAAATATAATAAATCATAAATATCTTTAGTATCAGTGCACCTCGCTCTGATGAAGCGAACGTCATGGTTCACGAAACTTGTTTTTGAAAAAGAATATATATATATATATTCTTTTTCAAAAACGATTATAACTTTTATCCAGTTTTTCAATTTTCTTGATCTATTTTGTTATACTGCTTACTCATTTTGTTCTACGTCTGTTTTAGGTAATGCAGATGATCTCGTGAATCATCAATCAAATGGTAATTCGAAAAAATCGCTACTCTCAAATTGGCGAACGAAGAAATCATTAAATCTTTTGAATATTACTTACGATGTGACACCAGCCGATCTTGTAACGGCTGTCGTCACAGAATTGGCGATTCTGCCATGCACTAGTGTTCCTGTGATTTTACGAATTAAACCTTCCGAAGTGTAAATACGTACACAAACGATCATTAATGCCTTCTGTCTTGAAAGAGCAGTTTAAAAGTTTCAATTACGATAAAAATTATATGTCATTCTAATAGATAGCTTTGGAGTAGTGATTGTCGGACTCAACATGACATACAAACATGGTATATGAATACCTAATACAATGCGTCTGCTTGAAACGTAATTAATTTCAAATGGAAGAACGTTTACTCGACGAAAGATGAAAAAAAAAACGCGCAATATCCAAAAAATAAAAACGAGTAAAATACAGAAATTACTGAATATAATATTTTAATGTAAATACGTACGGATTAGATTATTTGATAATTTTACACAAAACAATTTACATTAATCGAATATAATGCAAGATTGATATTGATTAATATATGAAGAGATAAAAGCGATAGTGTAAGTTACTTTTTTAAATTTATTGACTTGAGATTATTGATGCAGTCTACTGAGGCAAATGTTAAAAAAACCTTTTATTTTTCAGAGTTATAATTAAGTGACTAACACCACTATGGCTTTCATCCCTCCATATTGTGTTTATATGTAATTGTTGAAATAAAATTTTTTAATTGTATTGTAAAAAGGAATAGTAAAAGTTTCGCTTAGAGAAAATTACTAATATTTACTAAGTTTTCTAAAGGCAATTAATATCAATCAGTATTTTATACATCTAACATGTATCATAATTTTCATTTTAATACAGGACTGATGTAATGCTGTTGATATAAATTGTAAAAAATAAATATGTTTCTGCTAAAATCTTAGTCTTTTAAATTGCATATGTTTTTTTTGGTCTATTTTACAAATTTCAATTTTATGTTAATGACATTGTAATATCGGCAGATTCTGCTGACAAGTACTGATTTGAATCTGATAAATTTCTCTCTCTATAGCTAGTATGTATTTTTTTATGTTTTGGCAAACTATACATTCTGAAAATGTAATTAAACTGTTTTTTATATAAGTTCCAAACACACATTGATAGCAATTATTTATGCTTATTTATAAAAAATCTATTGGTATTGGTCTGAACACAACCACAAACATATTCATTATATGATCATATAATTTTTTAAATTTTATCAGATAAATAATTTAATCATTTATTGTAAAAAGATACCTAATTGGCCATGTATCTCTTATTTCAATACCATCACTTTTATACTCCTATTTCTTTTCCAATGTTCCATCACTCTATCTCACGTTTTTTTTTTAGAATTTGAAGGAAGTATTAGGAAAGTCTAGAAATGTGTTTTGTTTCATGCATGATGTATCATTTTATCTTTGTCCACTTTTAATTTTGAAGAAAGATAAAATACACCGTGCGCGAAACCGAATGTACCCCAGAATAAATTAAGGTTAAGATTTGACTAGTGATTAGAATCCTAACCTAACAAATTGACTTGACTCTTGATCATTTTAGGTCACTATTAAACATCTGATTTTATCACACGTGTGATTGCCATGAATTTAAAAAATCTAAGCCAAATTTGAGAAAATAATCATAAATCTAAATATATACATCAATATATACAATATCTTTTAATAATGAGATTCACTTATAAAGGTTGGCTCAAAACATCGTCTATTATAAAACAGAATGAACTTCGAAAGATCCTCATAACAAACCTGGGTTTAACTTCTACTGATGTGGACAAATTTTTTAATATGAAAATATATACCTATCTTCCTTATTATCGAATAATAAAAAATTGCATGATATGTCAGGTAAGATAAATATAACTTATTATTTCTATGTGTAATTAACAATGATTTTTTTCTAAAAGGCAAATAATAAGTAAATTAATAATTAATTTGATTTTTTTTCATAATATAATTTTATTATTAATCAATTTTGTAATAATGTAATTAATAGAATCGAGAGATCGATAAAAAGAATTGCTAACTAAAATAGTATTTAGTTTGAATAAGCTAACTAAATTAATAAATTAATTTAGCTAACTAAAACTGTATTTAGTTTGAATAATTTATCCAATTGTAACATATAGTCATTCATTTTAAACAAATTCTTAAAAAAAATTTGTGTATGTGTGTATATATTACATGATTTTTAGAATATAATTTCTTTCAAAATGAATGTAACCTTTTCTTTCTAAACAAAATATAATATTTTATTTATTTTTTCAGAAATACAATGTTCAAGTGGACTGTATGAAGAAACTCCACTATTGTCTGAAATTACATGACTATACATTAGAACATAAAATTAATGTACTAAAAGAACTAGGAGTGCCTGTTATAAATACATCTTTAATAAACCAGTAAGTTGATTACATATTGATGAAATGATTTATTTTTCTGTGAGAAATTAATATATTTCTCTAAATAATTTTTGAAATTCCAGTTCGCTCGGTCATTTGCACACAACACTATGGAAATTTAAAAATAAAGTTAATATTCCAGCCAAGCAAAACATTGTAGAGAATATATTTGCTGGTAAAGTTCCTAAAAACATTTTTAAATTGAAATTGAATGATCAAATGACAGTTCAGGAATACTATCAGACATGTCTGTTATATTACAAAAATCAGGTGTTCAATCTGTCATATCTAGATGATAAGATATTATTACATAGTTATTTAAAAATAAAGAGCATAAGAATGATTGCAGAGACATTGAAAGTACTCAGGCTTGATCTCCATTATGATGAGGAAATGGTAAACTCTTTATATTCTTTATATTTCTTTATCTAATCTTAATCAAGGTGTTAGATATTTTTTAAGTTTTTACTACTTCTATACAAAATCTTTACATAAATTTATTCTTTAAGTAGATTAAAAAGGATCCTCGGGTTATCATTGCTTCTGCCGATAATATCAAATTACTGTTGAATAGTTCTACAGAGGCTTTAGGGATGCCAATTGTAACATTTTTGAGAAAATATCCTTCTATACTTTTGCAAGATGCGGTTAATGTTAAACAATTACTCATGTTGTTCAAAAAATATGAAATACCAGATAAAAGTGTGAAGAAGTGCATGAATATTTTTCAAATAAGTAACGAAAGCTTTCAAGAACGATTAGAGATCATAAAGCAGCACCCAGATCTGAACATGTGGTATAAGCACCCACGAATACTGCAAATTATTTGCCGGATAAAGCAGACAAAGCAACGCTTAGAATATATTAACATCATGAATTCTTTGAAATGGGCCCAGCCACAAATATTTCTGACTTCAAACACGGAAGTGGACAAGTAAAAGTTTATAGATACTTTTTGAATATACTTGAAATATACTGAGAAACTCTGTACAGTTTGATTGTTTTTATTTTTTTTTGTTCTAGATCTTTGCAAACCGGCTTAGTTTCAACCCGAAAAAGTTTACAGCATATATTTATACAGGAATTGGGAGTAGACAAAAGCAATTTGCTAATGAGGCATCAACATTGGAAAATGACTGCATTTATTGATATCGTGCATATGTTGAAATACTTAAAGAAACATTTTAAGATAAACGAGATATGCTCTAATATACACATCGTACTTTATGAACAGTAATGGCCATATCTACTTAATAAATTAATTAAATTATTATTTAAATTTTTAACAATTTAGAATATTCAGCAAAAATAGTAGTAATAATTCAAATTATTCTTACTGTTTCTATTTCTGTCTTTTTCAATATTTATGAACTATATTCTTTTTTAATAAATTTTCCGTTAATATTAAAATGGATAACTAATCAAATTTCATGTTTTTTTTTTTATTCTACAGATCGAGAGTGAAAAAAGTACTGGCTGATCTAAAACAACAATATTCTAAGGGTACAGAGTACTCATTTACTAATAGCCAGTATCTTGCATTATGCCTATACATGTTGGAGAAAAATAATCATTTCACGGGTGACGGTGTTTGGATCAATGAAGAGAACATGAAAGAGCAATCTTTGAAAAAAAGAAATACTATAGAAAAATTTGACGATAGTACTATAGAAGATATCAATAATAATTTCAGTACAAAAGATGACAGTAATATTGATTATAATAGTATAGATGTAAGGTTGTAGCATTCAGTAAATTAGTAATAATACAGAATAAATATCTGTAAAAATGTAAATGTAAATAGTGGGAAAAATAATATACATAATGTACATAAACGTTTTTACTTGTACAGAATATTTTACAGCAATTCATATTACAGAAAACAAAGATATTGTATACTTATAACGTATGCAACACATGTAAAAATGACATGAAAAAATATAACATTCCAAACGAGGCTATGAAATGAAAAATCAATGCGAAGAATATACGTTACATCGAGTTTTTTTATTTCCATTTATTATAAATTATCTTTGGATACTATATGCGTAAAATTTGTATTCTATGATACGAGAATGAGATTATATCAATTTTACCCCGTTTTTTATTTATTACAAATTATTTTTATATAGAAATTTAATATCGGAAGATACATAAAGCGAGATTATTTCGATTAAGATTCACTGTTTTCTAACGCAAAGGCACAGCGCGTAAGGCATATAATTATTCAAGGCACAGAAAGTTGTCTTGAATTATATTACAAATTTGAACATATTTTGTTCAAATTCTCTCTCTCTCTCTCTCTCTCTCTCCTCTCTCTCTCTCTCTCCCCCCTTCTTTCTCCTCTTCCTTCTTTTCTTTTATTTTTCTTTCACCCTCATTAGTTGAATTAAAAAAATTCAAGAAATTAATTTTTCTAAAACAAAGAAAAATTATTAATAGCATTATAAAAATTATTTTCATTAGATATATATATATATATATTACATATATACGTATATAAGAATATATTTTATACATCCTTATCAACCGAAAGAAAGCATTTTCAAAGTATCGATAATCATTGTGAGATGTCGCTCAAAATGTTTTTTTTTTACATAATTTACTACGAAATAAATTTATTCTTCATTTCAGTTTATAACTTAATTTCTATCAATTTTTACTCAAATTTGCATTTTTAATCGCACGTTGAGACACGAAGTTATCAGAGAACGTATCAGAGAAAAGTACAAAAAAATTCTTATATAAATATATATGTATATAATCTTCCTTCCTCCTTCTGTGTTAAATAAAATATTTTGTATCCCCTCAGTTTTTCTCATCCCCCCCCCTTTTTTCTTTGATATTCTTTCTTTCTCAAAGATATAGATGTTCAATCGACTTATGTCCATTTCTATTAATAGAAATAGATTAATTTTAATTCTGATTTAACTTAATTTTTATCTTTATCTCTATAGATTTAAAAATTAGAATTATGTTCTTTCTCTGGAAGAACTAATTCTTCTTTATTTTTCTTTTCTTTATTCTCTCTAGTTCTAATATTAGGAATATAAATAAGTTTCCGCCGTTTGACAAAAGATGGCACCACCAGTATGTATGGTTAAAATTGCTGTATTGCGCCATCTAGATACAATGCTTTTGAATGTAAAATGGCTGTAATTCTTCTGTAAGCCAATAAACTACATTATCTATCTAAAATTGCTGTAACGTCATATCGAGGGTTGGACATCTGGCAACAACATAACCTTGAAATATTAGCGATTTTGTATCAGCATCATATATCTTTTTTCGTGTGAAAATGTCGAGTTTTGAGCCGAATAAGCGTTCTTTAATTTGAAGAAATCTGCAGCTGAGTAGCTTGTAGAGGGTAAGGCTGCCTTAAATTAGAGACCCTCTAACAGAGACTGGCCATCAGGCGAGTCCGGCATTTCCTAGCGAAATCCTACAAGTGAGAGAGAAATATAGGCCATTTCACTCTTTCACTCACACGAATATGTGCGTTCGTATGTGATCGTTTATTCAAGTTGATTTGAGTTGATTCAAGGTTGTGTTCGTGGTTTTTGCTCAGTACAAAATAATAACAATAAAAATGAGAGATTGCACTGCACAATTCTGGAAAAATTATTTAATATCTGTCTTTAGTCAGGTTACGGCTAAATATGTTTTAAATTATCAATTGTTTCCTAAAATTATTAGAAAGTTTGTCGTATTCAAATTAAGAACATTAAGTAAGAAAAATACTAATATTAATAGAAGATATGACAGTAAATCATTGGCAGTACACACCTTTTTTAAATAAATTTTACAAATGTTAAGTGTTTGTACTTTTGTCACTGATTTCCTAACCTTACTTTAATTTTATTTGAAAAAGATTTAATAGAATTAAGAAAGAGAAAATATTAAATATAGAAATTATTTAACGTATAAACAAAAAGAACGAAGACAATATAAGAGTCAATTTTTAAAATTTAATAACAAAGTCAAAAATTAAATCATAAATGTCAAAAAACAGCTATTATAACAAAGTTATTAAAAGAACGAAGACAATATAAGAGTCAATTTTTAAAATTTAATAACAAAGTCAAAAATTAAATCATAAATGTCAAAAAACAGCTATTATAACAAAGTTATTTAAAGATAAAGATGTATATAACTGACGATAAAACTTGACATGTTTTTTTTTATTTGACGTATATTATTTATATTAATGTAAAAAGCACGGTTTTAATATTTCTATAATATTTATCATTACATACTATTTACATTCCAAGTAAATGCAGTAATTGAAATTTCAATACGAGCGGGAATCGCTAGGAAATGGCGGACCAATCAAAAGTGGCCCCCTGATGGCCAGTCTCTGGCTGCGTTCCGTTTCACGCATATGCGCGCATTCTCCTATAGTATACGTGACGCTCACTATATAAAATGCGCGCATATGCCTGAAACGGAACGCAGCCTCTGTTAGAGGGTCTCTACCTTAAATGAGAGAAGTTGCCATGAGTAGTTTCAAAAGTTTAAGAACGGTGAATTTACCATCAAAGACAAAGAACGTAGTTATTTTCGACATTTTTTTTTTTTCGACATGGAATCCACTAATTACCAGAAAGATGGGAAAAAGTAGTGGCTAACGATGGACAATACTTGGAATAAAACATTAGGTACCGTTCTTTCACAATAAATGCTCAATTTTTGATGAAAAAACGGCGGAAACTTATTTATACACCTAATACTTCGAAATTTAGAATTAAAAAAAGATAAGTTAAACCGAGATTAAAGTTAATCTTCATTGATACATGTAGAAATAGACGTTGGGGCGACAGCGACTAAATTCTGATTAATTTAATCAACAATTAATCTGATTTTATAGTAAAGTTTTTGACTATGTTATAATCTGTTTCCTATAAATTTCCTGATCGTTTTTTCTATATGTGAAACTAAAAAATTCATCTCATTCTATCCATGTTAACAAAATATTACAAGTATGATATATTCTAATTTATTAAGTTAATTTCTGATTAAATTAATTGGAATTTGATGAAAGTCACTTTTAATTTCGCGTAAAATGTCACTCGCGATCACTCAAAAGCAACAAGTACAGAAACATCGCGGCTGTCGCGACGTGAATATTCGAGCTCGAGATTCTAACTTATGCTGCACCGATTGAGATCTCATTGCACGATTTTAATTTTTTCAGTAAAATTTATTTCTATCTCAATCTTATATAGTCGAATTTTGTTTGTTTCGTCATCGAAAGCTACGATCGATGTATAATAAGTAGCGCCGGTGTGAGCCCGGTTGATGAAATTGCGCGACCTAAGTAGTCCAAGACACCTAATACTCCTCGCGCTCGTCACGAAACGCGGACAGATCGCCAAAGTCGCCTAGAAGAGATCTAGAGTGGAGGAGGCCGCGAGTCAGTTCAGAAAAGGAGGCAGCTGCACGTAGCTCGGCTGGCTGCCAGGCTCGCTCTTCACCATCACCTGATCCTTCATGGCCTGGCGCGTCTGCGGCGAGTGCATGCCGTAGTCCTGTTTCTGATCGTTCGGCTGGGGCGGTGGTTGCTGCTGCTGGCCGTAATCGGCCGCGGTCTGCTCGTGCGCGTACTTGTCCGCGAGGCAACCGCCGTGCTCATCCTCGGACATGGAGTTACCCAGGTGGGTGGGCGGCGAGTGCGTCGTCACCATGGTCTGATAGTCGGCACGAGTGAGAGGCCCACCGGGTGGTGGCGGACTATTGCCGCCGCCAGGATTCATGTAGTCCTGATGGACTCGCATCGTGTTGCCAGCGGCGGTCGGCGTGGTGAACAACGCGGCGTCGTGTTGCGTCGGCAACATGCTCGCGTACGACGAATACGAGACGCTGCCGTTGTTGCCGAAGCTCGCAGCCGCTGCTGCCGCGGTCGAGTATGGCGAATTCGACGGATTCAGTAGATTCAAATGCCCCAGATCGTAAGCCGATGAGTACGCCCAGGCGTCCGGCGGCGCCGTCGCTGTCGTCGGCGACGCAAACGGATTCAGGGTATTGTTGAATGACGTGAAGGACCCTGAAAATAGAAGGAAACGTGTACCGATACAAATTTATTTTATCAGATAAAATGTTTAATATTAGGTGTACAAATTAGTTCGGTCCGTTTTTTATGTTCAAAAATGCATTTTTATTTCAAAACAAAATGGAAGAACAGATTAATTAAAGTACTGTCCATCGCTGGCTACTACTTTTTCCCATCTCTCAGGCAATTTTCGAATTCTATCTCGAAAAAATGACTCGTCTTTGGAAGCGATCATCTTTTGGAAAACGGACCAAACTAATTTGTACTCCCAATAATTGGACGAAAAATATTTTATTGACGTACTTGATCTTATCGTGCAAAAATGAAAAATAATATTTCTTATTTTCCTTCTTCAAATTAAATAAGATTGACATATTGTCTTGAGAAAAAGTAATTAACACATTTAAAATTTAAGTTTACATATATATTGTAATATCTTCTCGATGTATTTAATCATAATTACTCTAAAGTAAAAAATTTTTTATTTGTAAGAATAAAACATTCTTTTTTTTTTAGTAATAAATATGATTGTTGCTATATTGATTCTATTTCATGATAAATCGAAGAGTAATTCCGGTCTCTTATCAACACCTAATCGTGCTTACACGTATTCTTACACCATATATATATAAAGTTTAATAAACGTAATATAGAATAATATAAGCTGCTGTCTTTTAATTAAAAAACAATGCCGTTCTACTTTTGTTATTCATTGAATACCAAGAAGGAAAGAACGATGTTTGTGCCAAACTTGCCACCTGAACTATGGGATATGGAAAAAATCGGAAAAAATCTGGGGAATTCAATGAAATAAAATTAAACAGCTGGTTTTGCTGGGAAGTTATTCAAAATGGCGCCCAAAGTTGGCAAAAAACAGTTTTTTGCAGTTTAAAAAAAAAGTATGCATTTTATCAAAAAATGTTTCCTACAAAAGTTGTAGATCTTTTAAAAACCTACAAAAGTTGTTGTATTGAATATGTAAATTAATGCAAAAATGACTTAGTTATCGCGAAAAAATGGCTTTAAATCGCTGTTTTTTAAATTGCCTGTATCTTTTTGAATAAAACAGATATTCTGCTGAAACTTTCAGAAAATATAGCGCTCAATGAGCAGAAAATTTTCGTTTTTTATTTGTATCAAAATGTGGTATAGATGTCGCACAAAACGGTTTTTTCGAAAAAAAAAATCACTTTCGTAGAACGCGATTTAAACAGGTTCTGTAGCACTTACAGACAAAAATCAAAGCTGAAAATTTTCTTAAAGAGTTGTACTACCACGTGAAATATGTGCGCGCACCGTTAATTAATTAATTAATGGCCAAAAATGACCTCAAAAAAAGAACAAAAATTTTGACCCTAAATCTGGGGTAGTTCGACGAGACAAAAGTAATCGTGCATATTATATTAACGTGTAATATGCAATAAATGCACGAAATCGCCTGAAACGTCTAACAGCATTGGAACTTACAATTCTTCACTTATATTTTACTCTAATACTTTAGAATATAGTTTCAAATACTTATTTTAAAAATGTATGGCAGCATTTATGTACACAGGAGGTTCATTGCATGAATGTAAACACAGATAAGAGCCGAGCGGCTGCGTGGTGGGGGAGTTCCGACTAAACAGCCTGCTCAGCCGATCAGGTACGTTGAGGGGACACATACAAAAGAATCTTTCAGTTCGGATCGTCTGAAACGTATGTATGTAGTATATCTATATATACGGTTTAAAAATATATATTTCTGCAAGCAGGGAAAGAAAACGAACAAGAAAAAGTTTACAACTGCACCACCTTCAGATATCCATGCTTACTGAAATACATCGGATAGTAATCCGATATATTGTAACAGGCTGTGACACGACATCGTCGTTCTACAAAAAGGGAAAGAACAAAATTATGAAGGTAATGAACAACAGAAAAGACATACTGCAGACATTAAGTGTATTTTACAACGAACGAGCACAGCAGAAGGAGATATCGGAAATCGGGCGTTTCATAATCCGAAGCTTGTACTCCACGCAAAAAGACGATTGTCAATTGAATGATCTGAGGTTCCAATTGTTCCAAAAAGCCACCTGCAAATCCTCCTTTCATCTAGGTAGCCTTCCACCAACTGAGGGTGCGGCTGACCAGCATTCCTATAGGACGTACTTTCAGTTACAATCCTGGCTGGGAAATCAGTTTGACCCAGAAAGATGGGGCTGGAGAATTGAAATCGAGACATTAGAACCCGTGTGCAGCACTGAACCGATGATTCCAGAAGACGTAATAAAAAAGATTGCGTGCAGATGTGAAACAGGGTGCAGAAGCAATAATTGTGGATGCAAAAAACACGGATTGAAGTGTTCCACAATGTGCATCAAATGTGACGACGACAGCTGCACCAATCTGGAAAAAGTGCGTATTGTTCCGGATGACTTAAATGACATTAACGATGCAGAGACTGAAGTAGAGGCTAGTTGCGAGAATTTTGACGACAGCATCGCTATCGACGATGATGACAAGACTGAGTCCTACGAAAATGTCATCAGTGACGACGAAATGTCAGTCGGACAATCGCGGAAACGGCGAAGAATATGCTAATATTTTTAATTTGTTTCAACGTGGCTGTCTTTCCATTTTTCTTTACATTTCTGTAAAATGTAATTGTAAATTTATAACTAATTTGTAACAGGATCAATAACATTATTCTTGAATTTTTGAAAAGGGATTTTATATTTCTTGTATTTCACTTCTGATTTGTCCAATGAACCTTCTGTGTACATAAATGCTGCCATACATTTTTAAAATAAGTATTTGAAACTATATTATTAAGTATTAGAGTAAAATATAACTGAAGAATTGTAAGTTTCAATGCTTTTAGACGTTCCAGGCGATTTCGTGCATTTATTGTATATTTTTATTTATTGTATATTACATGTTAATATAATATGCACGATTACTTTTGTCTCGTCGAGCTACCCCAGATTAAGTACTTAAGGATTTCTGTAGGTACCCTACAAGTCGAGATAATGATATTTTTTCGGGCGCAAACGATTTTGAACGCGCGGTTTGAACGAGGTGGCTGGCGACAGCCCTCCACAGCTCAGCCGCCCGACTCCGGCTTGTGCGACCCACGTTCGCAGTGTTCACTTTGGCACACGATTTACAGTAGTTCAAGTTTACGAAACGGGCCACAATATTTTTTTTTTATGAAAATAAGTATTCTGAAAGAATCTCCCGGAGGATGTACGCTGTGCGAGTTAAATTACGCCCGCTGAAATTTTTTGAAAAAAAAAAATTTTTTTGGCTCCTGGAAGTCGTAGGAGAAATTTTTTTTTTCAAAATTCGTAGAAAAATTGTCGCTATCGATTGGTAAACATGCCATTATGGTATCAATTTCAACGAAGGAGATAATCGACATTT